ATATATACACACACACACATATATATATATAAGCTTTACTGGTTTTTGTTTCTCTAGAGAACCCAGTCTAAAACAATAGTCAATGAGCTCTCTCCTTTCACCTCAATTATTGCTTTTTGTTTTTCTTTTCCTTTTTTTAAATCTCTCACCTGGCACTCTTCTAGTTTACAGACTACCCTCTGCATTGGCATAACTTCAGTGTACAAACTAAAAGGCAGATTACCAATGGGTCCTGTCCTCAGCAACTGGCCCAGTCAGTGTTTTAGCAAGAACTCCAGGTGATTCTAGGGTAGGTGGATCCTGACCAGGCCTTGAAACACAATGACTTGAGACCTGAGTGTCCACTGAGTTGTCAGCAGGGGTGTCAAAATTCTCCAAGAATCCAAAGTATGTATGCCTTTAGCTTCTAAGTGAAGGAGTAAAACTGGCAAATAAAAAATATATTAAAAAAACTTCTAATCCTTCACAAATCATTGCCCTCCTTGCTTCAGGAACATGTTACTGCAAAAACAGTCTTTCTTTTCAGATGGTGCTTGTCAGAGTGAAGGGCAATTGCTAACCTAGGGAGAGATATGAAGAGCCAATCTTGCTGCCTTTCTGTGATGAAAGTGGAAAAGTAAACGTCACAAAGCTTAATGAGGGAACCTGAAGTTTGCATTTGGTGTTCATTTATGTTCTTCTGCTTTAAAATGAAAATAGAATCACAGAAGAAAGGCAAAAGGTGATTGTGTAATTAAATGTACTCAATGCACTCTTTTAGGTTGCTTTGCCTAAATTTCTTAAACTGGTGATTCCAATCTGGCTTTTCTAGAAATTTGAAAGTCTCAAACAAGGTTTTAGTATTAATTTAAAAAAATAAATATGACAGCATTTTTAGGCACTAGTTGTTACTGTTGTTAGGTGTTGTCACATTTGCTGCTATTCATAGCAACCTATGTACAACAGAATGAAATACTGCCCAGTCCTGCACCATGCTCACAATCTTTGCTATGATTGATCTATTGTTGCAGTCTCTAGAGACTAGTCTCTTCTGATAACATGACCAAAGTATGTGAGATGAAGACTGCCCATTGTTGCTTCTAAGGAGCATTCCAGCTGCACTTCTTCTATGACAGATTTGTTTGTTCTTCTGACAGTCCATGGTATTTTCAGTATTCTTTCCCAACACCACAATCCAAAGGCATCAACTCATCTTTGGTCTTCCTCATTCATCGTCCCACTTTCACAGGCATATGAGGCAATTGAAAATACCACGGCTTGGGTTAGGCATACCTTAGTCTTCAAAGTGACATTTTTTCCCCTTAACACTTTAAAGAGTTATTTTGCAGCAGATTTGCCTAATGCAATATGTCATCTGATTTCTTGACTGCTGTCTCCATGGGTGTTGATTGTGTATCCAAATGAATTGAAATCCCTGACAACTTCAATCTCTTCTCCATTTATCATGTTGTTGTTTGTTGGTTCGGTTGTGAGGATGTTTGTTTTTCTTTATGTTGAAGTATAATCTATACTGAAAACCATAGTCTTTGATCTTCATCAGTAAATGCTTTAAGTCATCTTCACTTTCAGCCAGAAGGGTTGTGTCATCTGCATATCACAGGATGTTATGGTCTTCTTCTAATCTTGATGCTGCATTCTTCTTCATATCGTCCAGCTTCTCAGATTATCTGCTCAGCAAACAGATTGAATAAGTATGGTGAAAGGATACAACCCTGGCACACACCCTTCTTGATTTTAAACCACTGCAGTATCTCCTTGCTCTGTTTAAAAGGAAGCCTCTTTATCTATGCACATATTCCTCATGAGCACAATTAAGTGTTCTGGAATTCCCATCCTTTGCAATATTATCCATAATGTGTTATGATCCACACAGTTGAATGCTTTTGCATAGTCAATAAAGTATAGGTAAACATCTTTCTGGTATTCTTTGCTTTTCAGCAAAGATCCATCTGACATCAGCATTGATATCTCCCATTCCACATTCTCTTCTGAATCCAGCTTGAATTTCTGGAAGCTGTCAATATACTGCTGCAACCGTTTTTGAATTATCTTCATCAAAATTTTACTTGTGTGTGATATTAATGGTATTGTTCAATCCCACATTCTGTGGGATCACTTTTCTTTGGAATGGGTACAAATATGGATCTTTTGTAGCCATTTGGTGGGTAACTGTCTTCCAAATTTCTTGGCATAAACAAGTAAGCACCTCCAGTGCTGCATCCATTCGTTGAAACATCTCAATGGGTATTCTGTCAATTCCTAGACCCTTGTTTTTCACCCATTTCTTCAGTGCAACTTGCACTTGTTCCTTTAATACCATTGGTTCTTGATCATATGCTACCTCCTGAAATGGTTGATCAATCAGTTTTTTTTTTTTTTGTACAGTGACTCTGTGTATTCCTTCCATCTTCTTTTGTTGCACTAAGGGAACCAGCAAATTATCCAAGAGCTGGATTATGTGAAGAAGAATGTGGCATCAGGATTGGAGGAAAATTCTAACTATCTGTGACATGCAGATGACATAACCTTGCTTGTCAACAGTGAAGACAACTTCAGACACTTACTGATGAAGATCAAAGACTATAACCTCCAGTGTGGATTATACTTCACCATAAAGAAAACAAAAATCCTCACAATTGGACAAATTAGCAATATCACTATAAATGGAGAAATGATTGAAGTTGTCAAGGATTTCATTTTACTTGGATCCACAATCAACCCATGGAGGCAGCAGTTAAGAAATCAAATGATGTATTGGGCAAATCTGCTGCAAAAGACCTCTTAAAGTGTTAAAGAGAAAAGATGTCATTTTAAAGACACGTGTGCCTGACTCAAGTCATGGTATTTTCAGTTGTGTCACATGCATACAAAAGCTGGATAATGACTAGGTAAGACTGAAGAACCTTTGAACTATGAGGTTGGCAAAGAGTATTGAGTATGTCGTAGACTGCCAGGAGAAGGAACAAATCTGTATTGGAAGAAGTACAACTGGAATGCTCCCTAGAAGCAAAGTTGGTGAGATTTCATTTCACGTACTTTGGTCATGTTATTAGGAAGGTCCAGTCCCTGGAGAAGGTAAAGCAGAGGGTCAGTGGAAAAGAGGAAGACCCTTAACAAGATGGATTGACACAGCAGCTGCACCAATGGGCTCAAACATAGCAATGATTATGAGGCTGGTGAAGGACTGGGTACTGTTTCACCCATTGTACATGGGGTCGTTATGAGTTGGAAGTGACTCATTGGCATCCAACATCAACAACAGGGGAGTCAGGAAATTTAAACAAATAGTTATATCCTATAAAAATTCCATAAATTGTAAAAATCACTGATCTAGACCTAGAAGAATATGATACATTGAAATTAAACCTTACTGGGAAAAAGCATTCACAGTGTCTGGGCACACAGTGGAAACTTAATCTTCAGTTGAATGAGTTCAAGATGAGAGAGTTGATACAGAAAGGAGAAAATCAGTGTCCTTGTGTTCAGTAGCTTCAGAAAAAGTTGATAGTTAGAAAATGGGTACCAACTGACTTTGTGTAGCTTTTACTTTGTAAAAGACTACAAAAATTGTGGCTTCTATATGCTAATGTATAATGAGATAAAAACATAGAAGAAAATATATATTAAATAAATCTTATAAGACATGTGTTTCCTACATGTGTAGGTGTAACCAGTTGCTGTTGAGTTGATTCCAACTCAGCAACCCCACATGTATCAAAGTAGAACTGTACTTCTGAGGGTTTTCAATGGCTGGGGTGTTTTGGAAGTTAGATGTAGAATAGAGCAAATTAGACTCAAGGAAGTTCAGGTCTAAGGTCACCAAGCAAGTCAGGGGTAGACCATGAGACCAAGCCCTAATACCTTATACCTATGTGACTGCTATAGACCAGGCACTATGCCAGGCACTGAGGATACAGAGGTAAGAAATATTCTCCATCCAAGTTCACAAGTGGGAGAAAGTGGGAGGTAGAGGAGGCAGGAAAATATTCAATTACAAGGCAACGCCTTAACTCCATGTTAGAGTACAAATAGCATTCTGTGGCAGAGAGCAAATCCCCTTCCCAGTCAATGGCCATGAACAGGAAGTGGCCTATGAGTAGAACTGTATCCCTGACCTCCTAACCTCCTGCCATATTTTGTTCAGAGACTTCTTGTTCAAACTCAGCAACTCTGTCCCCTGCCCACTAGGTGTCAACAAGGGGAGGGCTACTGCTTGATGAAAGTGTCAGGCCCCAGCCTTCTCTGTCTGACCTGCCTTTCACAGTTTGTATTAGGGATATATTAGAGTCCCTCACCTTCTTCTTCTCAGACTGTCAAGCTCCAACCTGCACCCTCCCACTACATACACACACACCTCACCAACACTCCCCTCCTTCACAGAACCTTTTCTGCTGAATGAAGTGCTTGCTGGATGAAGAATGGGACTTTACAACATCTTTTGTAAACATTGTTTTTCCATTATGTATTGGCCTGGGAACTTTCCCAATCTGTAATGACAAGAAAGAGAGGAAGAAAGAGAAGGAAGGATGGATAGAGGAAAGAAGGAAAAGAAAGAACTCTCCTGTCTTTGCATTGCTCACTTTGGCTGCTTAAGTGCTACCTGGCTCTGAAAGCAAGTTGCTGGAATCTTATCTGCTTTTTATAGTTGATAGTTTCACTTGATGGTCCCTATGAAAGCAACTGTGGCTGCCTGAGGAAAGTATAGCCTGGTAAAAAACAGGTGGTCTTTTATGCAGCTGAGGGGTGGATGGGTCCTGCACCCACTGGGCTGCTCAATATTGCAGAGTGAGAAGAACTTGGAGTTCCCAGGGAACCCAGGGGAAACAGTTGAAGGGGCAAGAGGGACAGGCAGAGGAGCAGAGACTCGCAAGACCTGAGGTTTCCGGATGCTGTGGTCTGCCATGTAAGGGACCATGAACTTTTCCCTGTGACCACAAACCATGGGTACTCAGCACACACAACAGCTAGGTACTCAGGTTTGTTCTGAGTGGAAACAGAGACAGGCCAAGTTCCTGGTTGGGACTGATGCCTGGGCAGAAACAAGGGAAGAGTTGCAAGAAGCACCATGTAGTGAAAGAATCTGTCAGAAGAAAAAATCAGAGCTAGAGAGGACTAGAGAATGCTACTCCCAAAAAGCATCAAACCTGTTGTTGTCGAGCGGTTAGGTTCCAACTCATAGCAACCTTACAGGACAGAGTAGAACTGCCCATAGGGTTTCCAAAGTTGTAATCTTTACAGAAGCAGATTGTCACATCTTTCTCCCATGGAGCCGCTGGTGGATTAAAACCACTGACCTTTCGATTTGCAGTTGAGCACTTAAACATTGTGCCATCAGAGCACCTTAATGCTACCTCAGGCCCCCGAAATTCTCAGAAGTGGAAAGGGCCTCCCAGATTTGGAGGACTTTTGATCTGTAGGGAGGAGAACTCCAGCAATAGGAATAAGACCCACCTTCAAGTTTCTGTATCCACTTCGTCTTCGACAATACCAGCAGCCAACAAGCAGTAAGATTCCCAGGATCACCGTCAGGATGCAAATCCCTGCGGCCCTGGCCAAGAGACAGACAAATCTAGTTTGACACAGAAATATTGTTCCAGATTGCTGGAACATCATGCACCAACCTTCTTTCTTCTTTGGGCTTTCAGAGCCAAAAGCTGCACCTTTCAGTCTCCAAGTGCTTTTCCACCCCACCACACAATGGCACCCCACCAGGACTCTAGCCCCTGCATCCAGGGCCAGGTTCTTCTCTAGGAGCCTCTCAGGTGTGTGCCCACAGGTGCAATCCTACCTGGCCTGGCCCAAGCACTCAAGTTCTAGGCACAAGATGTACAGCAGCAACTGATCCTTACATGCACAACATATTGGTTGGAACTGAATTTTCTTCTCATCAGAGCTGGTTTAAAGCATTATTCCCTACCAGTCCACAAACAGGAGATGGAAGTGAATATCTAATATAAGCCAGGCACTGTGTTGAACATTCTACATACATTAGTTGATTTAATTCTCACTGTAAGGTTGCTGTAAAGTTACTGCCTCCCAAAAAAAACACTGCCATTGAATCAATTCTGACTCATTGTCACCCTATAAGGTAGGCACCATTTATTATCCCCACTTCATAGATGAGAAAATAAATGCAGAGGTTAAGTGATTTGCCAATATCATACAGAGCTAGCATGAAGACACCGTGAGCAGACGCTTGAATTCTGGCCAGACACAAACTCCTGTCTCTGGAATCAGGGATTTTCCTACTGTCTCACTCTCTTTGAAGCAAAGCTATCACAGGAGCAAGTGAGTCCCATGACTCAGGCAGCTGACTGGGCTCACAATGTGCATGTGCTCTGTGGTCATGCCCTGGGAAAGGGGGACACGGGCAAGCTCTGCTCCAATTCTACACACGGTCATACCACACTCACACAATGACTGACTGACTGAGTGAGAGACTCCAGGACATGTCAGACATGCTGGTAGAACTCACCAACCAGCCTGGCACAGCTCCTTAGAGTGTCACCCACATCACGATCACCTAAGATGCATGTAAAAGGGCAAGTCCTTGGGTATGACCCACTGAATCAGCCTCTTGGGTGATGGGGCCTAGGAATCTGCATTTTAACATGCTCCACAGATGACTTAAGCATACTTAACTGTGAGAACCACTTTCCATTGGGATTTCAAAGAGATGGACATGCAATGCAGGTGGATCACTCTTTAAGGCTGGGCGTGGGAACTGACTTAGTGTTATTCTTCCTTGTTCCACCTGGTTGTGAGAAGGATAAATATCCTCAGAGCATCTTAGTGATGCATTGGTCTCTATTCTCCTACCTCATTCTACTTCACTTGTTTAAATAGGCAATCAGCTGAGCAGGGCCTTTTTGTGAAAAGTAAACCAACCAATGGCCACTGAGTCAATTCTGACCATGGCAACCCCATGTGTGTCCGAGTAGAACTGTGCTCCATAGGGTTTTTAATGGCTAATTTTTCAGCCAGTGTTACAGGTGAGGAGAGACAACTCAGGGACACCCAAGGTAGCAGGCGGGAAGAGCAGGAGAAAGGGGATTAAAAGCCAGGAATCCAGACAGAGGTACAGTCAGCCACAGGGACCCAGGTGGGGGTGATACAAGAGGTCTCCAACAGCAAGACAAACTTGTCTGTCGGTTTGTCCTACTGTAGTGACATGTAGACGTGAGTTTTGAGGCTGAGCCTCTGG